ATGCGTGCTAGTAAATGCTTTATATATATTCATTGTCTATATGTGCATGGCCTAATGCCTGTTGGCAGCTTGTTATTCCTTCGAAACTTATAACTATGTTTACGTCTAATTAACATTTTTTTGTTTGTTACTGACCCAACTCACGTCTGCTTTTTCGTTAGTCAAATTAACTATGTATCTTATTGTTGTATCAAAACATGAATATTTTTTTTGCTTTGGGCTAAGCCAAAGTGTGATAATACTATATATGGCTTCCTTACAATTCTTTGATAATGGCTCCTTTATGGAAGATGATTGCCCAAGAAATGACTTGATTTTCTTTGGTGTTCTTTTTTACTTTTATCGCTTTCTTCTTTTGTCTGCGGGATACAATGGCGTGCCAATGGAGGGGTCTTGTCTGTTTTGAAATATAGAGAAAAGGTTATAAAGGCAATTGAATAATTAAGCGCTAAAGTACATGCATGGCGATGGCGGAGCATTTTTATCTACCTTACTGAAATCGTTTCACACAATGAATGATGCCTTGCTACTACAATACAATCACAAAAATGAAGTCATGAAAATAATATTTTAGTCCACACAAATAATATTTAGTTCCAACTAGTTTGAACCATTAACGTAGATATGCATGGAAAAATGAACTAGCAAGGTATTTATAATATATGCGATTTGTTAAGTCGAGGCATGCCATGTGTTATCATGCTATGCCATGCACTATCATGCTATGTCACGTACAAGAGAGATGTGTGCAAATCTTGCTTAATAGAGGGGCCGACACACACACACACTGTTGAAAAACATAAAAGAAATGCTGGGTAAATTACTCAAATGGTCCCCAAACTTGTACGCGATTTACATTTTGGGGCCTGAATTAAATTTTTCGTTCAAATGGTCCATCAACTCTATATTAATTACTCAAATGGTCCCACCGTCTAATTTTCTGTTAGATTTAACCAAATTTTAGGGTAAATACGACTTTTCATAATTAACAAATAAAATAGGGTTAAAATAAATACAAAATTAGAAAATAATTGAAGAAAAAGAGAAAAAAAATCATGAGACCCAAACCCCCTCCCTTCGATTTCTTCTCCCCCATTCCTCAGACTTCTCCAATTGCTGCGTTTGTAAAAGATGGTTTGTCAATGGACTTCAACCATCCAGCCCAACAATTAATGTCCAAAATAATACTAACAAAGGTCTGAAGGAGGATGGAGAAGGTTGCTGAAGAGACGCAGAGACGCAGAGGAAGAGAAAAGCTCCTGAGGAGGTGAAGGTTGCTGAAGAAATTGCTCGCCTTTTTGGTGAAGTGAGTGGTGGGAGTGTTGGCTTTGGTATTGATGGCATAAATCCCCAAAACCCTCGCAGCAATTTCTGCGTCTTGGCCGAAGACCCGGTACTTGTACTTGGAGGGTGAGAAATTGACAGTGACAGTGATTTTGGGAGGTGGGGTTGGCGGGTGATGGGGTGGGGAGGAGGGTGGTGGGTGGTTGTCTCTCAACAACAAAGGGAAATCAAGAGGGAGGGGGAGAGGGTCTGGGTGGTTGTTGAGTTGGGGTTCTGGGTTCGTTGGGAGGGGGTTTGTGGAAGATTTTTTTCTTTTCTTTTTCTGTAGTTGCTGGCTTGGGTGGAGGGTGGGGAGGAGCTGGGGTTTTGGGTTCATGGGGCCTGGGGTGGAGGGTGGTTGTTGGATGGGTTTGGGTGGAGAGTGGTTATGGGATGGGTTTGGGGGTTGGAGCCTGAGGGTGGTGGCCATGGGGGAAGAAAGAGAGAGAGAGAGTTTTTATTTGATTTTTCAGTATTTATTTATTTTTAACGTACGAAATGACCAATTTGCCCTCATATTTAACAGCAACATTGACAGAATGTAACGGTGGGACCATTTGAGTAATTAATATAGAGTTGATGGACCATTTGAATGAAAAATTTAATTCATGCCCCAAAATGTAAATCGCGTACAAATTTGGGGACCATTTGAGTAATTAACCCAAGAAATGCTACCCTTAGATTTTGCATTTTATGGGAGTAAGGCACTATATATTTAGTGTTACGAATTCTAATAGTTTTTGTTTTCAGGATCAGACTATATGTTTCTTGGAACATAATATTGACTCAACTAATAAACTAGTTGAATTGATTTTAGTTGGTACAATATGTATATAATATATATGTATTTTCTTGAATTAGTTTTTCTTGTTTTTTGTATTGATTAAATTTATTATATACAATCATAAATTAAGGGCTGGAACAGTTTTGAGAAGGAATAATGGAATTTAAAGTTTCGATTGTGTTATCACCTTTATGAGCTAATGCGCATCCATTTCTTCACTTTCATGTCTTTCTTTTTTTATATATAGCTGCGAGGCTATACTCGGGTTTTCATTTATAAAAAATAGTATACCCGCAGGGCTATACTTGTTTTCACACGGGGGCGCCTAGCCGCTAGGTGGGTTTTTTTATTAATAATATAGCCGCAGCGCTATATTCGGGTTTTTTTTGTTTTTTGTTTTTAAAGTATAGCTACGCAGCTATATTACGATTTTTCTCATATACACACGTTGGCCTTTTTTACTAAATAGTATAGCCGCTCGGCTATACCCGGGTAATTTTTTTTTTTGAAAAATAGTATAGCCGCGCGGCTATACCTGTTTCCACACGCGTGCGTCCGGGCTCTAGCGGGTCCTACTTTTAATTACAAATAGTATAGCCGGGCGGCTATACTCGGGTTATTTTTTCTTTTAAAAATCGTATAGCCGCGCGTTTCCCAGACAAAAATGACTGATATTTAGTAGAGAAAATAAACAAAAATTAATCATGAACTTGAAACAACTAAAGGAGATTACCAATACTAACCTTAGAAACGCGAGTGCAAGAATACCGATTGATATTCCAAAAGCGAATTTCATTGTTAGCATAACAGGAGCAGAAAAGGTCATTCTTCTTAGGATGGAAATCAAGTGACATTACATGCGACGTATGCCCTGCATATGTCTGTAAAGAATAAATTGCCTGCCAAAATGAACTCAAACCCTTTAGAAACCCAAAATGATAAAATGGGTGGACCAAAATCTTCACTGGCGATAAAGAAAAAGAAAGTCAGGAAATTCTTGATTACACATGTCAAATACAAGCACCTAATGCATACTATTTTCGGATATTCCAGCACATAAAATGAACCTGATGCAATTGATAACATACAAAATACACAGAAGTAGAAGCTATAAAATAATCAAAGCAGAAGTCAAAAGAGAGGTCATAATCCTGTTAGACAACCTCAAATAATATTGCAACGAAACTATGATTCCCTTGAGAGAGAATAAGCATTCATGAACAAGCATAAAAAAATGAAGATTTTGCCAACTATTTTGAATAATTATTTCAGTCGGGGTCCAGATATTTAATTGAGAATAAATCAAAACCAGAGGAAGGGAAACCAAAAATTGTTTATGGAAAATGCATTTGGCAACATTAAAAATGAAACAGAAATGGAAGCACAGAATTTACTTGGTGCTTCATTCTGCCCTCTGGTGTGCTCCTCTGGTGTGCTTTCAGTTTGCAGTGTTTCCATTTTCCAGACAACAACCTACTGACATGAAAAAACGAAAGAAAATCATTCACATCATTCCTTTTCTCATTAATATTGAAATTTGGATAGCTTAGGATTATCTAGTTGTTTGAATCAATTGAAGTCACTAATTTATTGAATTCCAAAGTAAAAGTTTCAGACCATCTCAAAATAGCATCAAGAAGTACCTAAACCCAATCAGTAAATCAATTACTTAGCTTACAACAAGACTTGAACCTGGGCTCTACCCCTTCCCCATCCAACCCCAATGCCACCTGAGTTGGATAATGGGCATTTGATAAATCAACAATTGTTTTGCACCATTTCTTAAACCTTATGATTATTTGATTGTGGATAAGGCAAAATCAAACAGGGTCAATTTGAGTTTGTGCAACTATAGCACCATGGAAGAATCAGGAACACCACAGATTCTCTACTCATATATATCAGTTCTCCTATGCGGACGTTCGGACGTTATTACTGTGCCGATGCCATTGTAAACAGGGAGGAAAGGAGGGAGGGGTAGTAGAAAATACATGGCATCTGTACAGTAATAACTTCTGGACTTCCGCATAGGGGAAAATTTGTATACATATATATATATATATTGGTGTTAGGAATGATGTGGAAGGAAACAAAGAAAGTAGGAAAGTGAGCATAAACCAACATAACAAAATCAAGATGCTTTTAATCCTTCTCCTGTCTGGTAGACAACATAAAATTCTATGCCTCTATTTTGATTCTTAAATTCTTTTAAGAACCAGGAAGTCACACCTGCATTCCCCATTCCTGGTTTTGACTGCATCATTCCCTGCCCATAAATTGAAGAATCCATAGGCAAAGATCTCTGAGCAGTGCCCATGTTAACTTCACTCTTTATGTCCTACAGACAAGGAAGAACCAAAGCTTTACTAAATTTAGAAAGAAGGAAAGGAAGAAAACAGTACAATTGGTGTATTATAAGTAGTTACTGTGGTCTGTTGACTTCGAGCCTGGATTTGTTGTAATGCCGCATTAACACTACCGGGGTTCCCTTGAACCATCTGACTGTATTAGCAAATAACCAAGAAAAATAAACTGCCAAAATAACTAAATATCAGAAAACTGTGAAAATATGATCTTCCAGTTGCTTACCCAGGATGGTTTGTTGATTTCAGAAGGGCCACTCTAGCATCAAGGACTGGTTGGGATGTCTCTGAGTCAATCGGATTGGGGTGTTTCATGCGTTCCTCGTAGTGTAACCGCGGCTATACTCCTTGTTGACACGTTGGTCCCTTTTTTTAAAACTAAATAGTATAGCCGCGCGGCTATACGGGGGTATTTTTTTTACTTTTAAAAAATAGTACCGCCGATCGGCTTTACTGTCGTTTTTTTTTAAAAAAACTGGTATAGCCGCGCGGCTATACGCGACTACTTTTTTTATAAAAAAAGAGTATAGCCGCGCGGCTATAATTGTTTTCACACATGGTGGCTATGGGCTAGGCGGGTTTTTTTGGGGATAAATAGTCGGGTTTTTTTTTAAAAAATAGTATAGCCGACCGGCTATACTCGGGTTATTTTTAAAAAAAGATAGTATAGCCGCCCGGCTATACGTGTTTCACACCTGGTCATTTAACCGCTAGGCGGGGGTTTTTTTTATTTTTTATTTTTTATTTTAAAAATAGTATAGCTGTACGCTATACGCGAGTTAATTTTTTTTAAAGCTGCGCAGCTATACTATTTTTGACATGTTGGTCCTTTTTTTTCCACTAAATAGTATAGCCGCGCGGCGATACTGGGATACTTTTTTATTTTTTAAAAATAGTATAGCAATGCGGCTTGACTATGGTTATTTTTATAAAAAAATAGTATAGCTGCGTGTTTTCACAATTGGCAGATAATGCATGCCGTAGTGCATGACCATGTTGGTAAACTTAGTGTCACCTTAAAAGAACACACGATTTCACTATAATCATTTTCTCAAGATAATTTTTGGCGGCTTTTATTCCTCACACATCAAATAAGAAAACTTGATTTTATGGGATTTTA